GATTTCTTCAAGGATTAGAAGATGCATGTCACTTGACATCCATCCCCCTTATCTCCCATCAGTTTACCCATCTGTTTTGCTAAGAGCCTGAAGCACTTTATCCGCATTAACTCTGCCTGGCTGGAGCAATGCCTGTTCTCCACCCCTACAGGCCCTTTCCAATGTGACACAGCCCTGGGAAAAGGAGCCACTCTCCAGACTTTGACTCCATGGATGTGGGGCAGAAGCTTGTACCATCCACTTCTGAGCTTGTCTGAAAGCTCCCTGCTTGCTCTTCTCAACTGCTGCCTCTCCCTCCAGTGCCACCATGGTTTTTTCTATTCCCAATCCTTGATTAAGTAGAACTGAAAACACACAGCTACATCTGAAGCAAAGAACAGCAAAACCTGAAGACACAGATAGTCCCTGTGCTCTGCACTGGTGGGGCTGCACCTCCAGTACTGTGTTCAGTTCTGGGCCCCTGACTATGCAACAGACACTGAGTTGCTGGAGTGAGTTCAGAGAAGAGCAACCAAGCTGGGGAACGGGCTGGAGCACAAGTCCTTTGAGGAGAGGCTGAGGGAACTGGGATGGTTTAGTTTGGAGAAGAGGAAGCTGAGGGGAGACCTCATTGCTCTCTGCAACTACCTGAAAGGAGGTTGTAGGGAGGTGGGTGTTGGCCTCTTCTCTCAAGTGAATGGACAGGACTAGAGGAAATGGCCTGAAGAGATAAGGAAGAATTTATTTACTGAAAGGGTGCTCAGAGTGGAATGGGCTGCCCAGGGAGGCAGTGGAGTCACCACTCCTGGAGGTATTTAAAAACCATGTAGATGTGGCACTTCAGGACATGCTCTAGTTTGCTGTTTTGGTTTGGTTTTTTTGGGGGGAAGGGGTTAGGGGTTGGCAGATCTTTGAGGTCTTTTCCAACTGTGACTATTCTGTGACCCCGTGTGTGATTCTGTGGCTCCCACTCAGTAGTCCAGCTCTGAGTAGCACTTGCTTGCATACATAACTGTATGATTAATGCCATTCATACAAGCACACACAACAATACTTTGGTAAAGCAGGTGAGCAAAAGTGTATGATCAAATGTTTGCTGAATTAAGGCCTGTGGAAAATTCCCTTGCCAAAAGAGCTCGATAACCACCCACTCTGCTTCCTCATCAACTTCACCTTGCATACTCCAATTTATTTTTTCACCACTTCCCAGTGCACAAGCCTGCCCTGGTAGGGAGAGCAAAGAGGTGATTGCTAGTACTTCAGCTAGTTAGGCTGGTATATGTGAGTACCATACAGCAACTGAAAGCAGTCAGGCTGATCATTTTAGTTCAGAACTAGTCACTGCAGACTGGAGTTAGTCATATGGGAACTTATTCATTTGACCTCTTCGCTGTAAAAGCCAACACCACATAATGGCAACAAAAAAAATCTTCTTTTCCTTATCATATCTCAACTAAATGAGCAATTTAAACACCATGTTCATTTCATACCCCAGTTTGTCCTTTGATAGTCCTATTCCCTATAATTTATTTATAATCACCCAGCATGGGATTCTCACAGTTTATCTGTCTTCTAAGCCAATGTCAAACTGCCTTCTAAGCCAATGCTCAGATTTGCAAGATAAATACAAGCAAATACAAAGCCACACACTGATAACTTTGTTACTGCTAACAACAAATATAAACTAAATAAAGATGCCAAGCCATTAAAAAACAGTTGAAATAAATCCTCTCTCTACACAGTAGTTCATAAGCTCCACTTTACACAGATAATGTAAATACCTTCCCACATCATTTTTCAAAAACCAACCCAAACTTCCTGCATTCCTAAAGCAACATTAACATCACCAAGCTAGACAGTGGTGTAAAAGGCTGATGGAGGACCTGCCTGACAACATGAAGTGCCCTCCAATTTACAAATGTCATTGTATATTTAGAAGCTGTAAACTGTGTGATAAACAACCTTAAATATTGATAGAATCACAGAATCCCAGATGGGTTTATGTTCAGAAGGACCTTAAAGCTCATCTAGTTCCAAGCCCAGCCATGAGCAGGGACACCTCTCACTAGACCAGGTTGCTCCAAGCCCCATACAACCCACCCTTGAGCATTTCCAGGAATGGGGCAGCCACAGCTTCTCTAGGCAGGCTGGGTCAGTGTCTCACCACCCTTGTGGTCTCCCACCCTTGTGGGACAAGCCTTTAAATCTACCTTAAAAATATACCCTGAAGATAAAGCACTTCTGCCACTGTTCTTGCACAAAATGTTTACTCAAGTCAAGAGGCCACATGAAGGAACAACTGCCTACACCAAGGAAAAGAACACACAGAGTTAAGCAGTTTTAACAGAAATATTTCACAATCCTCCTGAAAGAAAAACCACAGCCCTAAGGACATGTGCATTTTCAAGTTACAATCTAAAACAAAGTGTCTCCTGAAAACAGCAAATAGTGCAGACAAATCTGTCTCTTTTTCCATGTCACCTCTTCTACAGCAGCACCTAATAAATGCTCCAAACCAAATGGTTACAATTATTGTTGCTCTAACTCCAGTACTCTTGTGCCCAGCACTAACACACAACTTCTAAACATCAAGGATGAGCTGTGACCACCAGCACAAACTTAACTCCTCCCTAGTGCAGACCTCCTCATAGCTGGACCATGTCAGACCAAAAATTAAAGGTGGAAGAGGCCGTGTAAATCAGTCACCTTCAAAATACAATCATAATATTCAGGTGGGAAATATTTCTAGAACACAAACACAACAAATTCCTAAATCCATGTTCAAACACTCATGCGTGTGTCCCAGTTCTCCAAAATCTGACCATTAAGGCAAGTAACTTCTAGAACTTTCTGCCAAAACTCTGTTTATGTAACCCTTTGGACAAAAAAAATATGCTGCTGGTGATTTCCAATACACCTGCCTGCAAAGCCACCCACCATGCTGGCCATGTCCTGCTTTTAACCAGGGCTGGAGATGACCAAAGGAGGGAAAAGGGGATCCTGATGAGCAACTGACCTTTTAGTTTTTATGGAAAGCTTCTATTTAAAAAGAAAGTTATCTCATTTTGAGATTTCTAACCAAAGTGGGGAACCTCCCAGAAGGAAAATGAAAGGAAGAGCAGCAAGCAGGAGAGGCAGAACGGGGAGAAACAACAGCTGAAATGACAGCAGACGCATTTAGACAATTGGGCGATTAACAAAGTACAGCACCAGTAACAACTTTGAGGTGAAGTTTCACAAAAACACCCATGGATTTACATTCTTTCTTTGTATGACTTGTAGACAATTTCTTAAAGACAGCAGAGGATGTATTCCCAGTAGTGTGATAAGCCACCATTCTTCAACCATAAACACCCTATCGGGTCTTGCTGAAGCGCTGCCTGGAAGGTCCTGCAGACTGACAGACTGGCCCAGTAACCACTTCAGCAGATTTAATGTTATCAAGCCAAGTAACTAAAAAATGAGAATCACACTATAGAGCCCAAATGAGGAGCTCTGCAAATAGCAGATCCACCCCTCTGCTTTGCCAGCTGTAACCTCCAGTCCATTTTTTAAATCACTTACTGTGAAGGATTCTTACGCAAGTCCACCATGGATAAAGAAATTTCCAGAGGACTTCCAAGTGAAGTCATTTTGAAGGACAAAGTGAAAAAACAAAGTTTCCAGACTAAGAGCAGACCCCTCTCTCTCTCCTTTTTCTTTTTTTTTTTTTTTTAATTAAAAATTATGCAATGCTGACAAGAGGGTTATAAATCTCCTCATTCCTCATTTTCTTCACCTCTCGCTTGGAAGATGTTACTACTGGCTGATGGTTCCTGCACAGAGGGATCAGAGGGCAGAAAGGTTCATCCCTCTACTAATTCTTGACCTTTCTACTGACACTGCCAACAAGCCTGGACACAGAGCCCTGGCTATGTCAGCATTTTATGGAGGCACTTTGTCCAGTAGGAACTGCACTGAGACCACCAATAAATCAACACACAATCCAAGAGCAAGGTACCCCTTCCTTGAGTGCAGTGAACATTTTGAATCCTTGTATAAACAAAGGTTAATGCCATGCTGCAGAAAAGATGGAAGCAGGCTGTCATTAAGAGCTGTCCTATAGATTCCAGAATACATTCTTAGCATTAACTTACCCAAATTACTTTCCTGTCTCTGAAATATTTTTAAATCAGACTGAGATAATAACAATGAAAATATACTCTGCAATCAAGGTTTGTATAAAATGAAATCTACGCTTGCTCTTTTCTAGCACATAAGTGTTTGAAAGGTTGAGCATTTAAAATAAACTACTACACTTTTATGGGAAAAATCAGACCTTATATCACACCTTTGTACAATTAGGAAACCCAAAGAAGTTTCTGCAAATACACAGCATGATGAAACATGATTGAAGACAAACACCTGCCTGGATTTAGACTATTCAAATCTCCTGTATTTAAAACCAAAACAAATGGAAAACAAACCAATTCAGTTTCCAAGCAATGCACTCAATTTTGGTAAACCTCTGTGTACCAAAGAGCAGCATGTCAGCTTGATTAAACTGCAAAGCAATATATTTGGCCTGTGATGTACTGACCAACTTGTGATTTTTGGTTGCTGCACTTCAAAAGAAAAAAAAACCAACAAGTCCCATGACCAACTTCAGAAGAGTTATCCAGGGTAAGCAGTGTCTCAGGGCAAAAACAGTGCCTTGGTATTAGACAGACCCATTCTGTGTAGAAGACTAGTCCAAGCAATTAAGGGCTAAACAAACTTTTAAACTTTTTGTTTCATTTTACAATCCATCCCAGCTGACTCCCAGCTGACATCTTGTTTAGAGCTTCTCATTAAACATGTGCATAGTAGAAATGTCAAAGTGTACAAGGACAAGGTAATGATCACCTCTGGAGCACTGTCTTTCTCCTTTTCCAGATAGCAAGAGTAGCAGAAAACACAGCCTATTTTGCAAAGAAATCATCCTTCTCTCTTCACAAAATGAAGGACAGCATAAGGAATTCGAGAAAGAATGTAATACTTACTCCATCATAGATGGAGGAATTGTACAGCAGTCCTGGATGGCAGTCAAGGGCGAGGTGAGGTGAGCAGTGTATGATGCTTCCACCACTTGCTTGTTGCGATTCACAACATCCAAGTAACGGTTAAATTTCTCCCGGATTTTTTTTGCCAACTGAAAAAAAATAAGAAGAGTGAAGTGAGGTCAGTCTCTCTGTATTACCATGTTCCTTATTAACCAACTTAAATAGAAAGTAAAAACTGCATCTGTTAAAGATGAGTTGCCTGCTTTGCTCACTGTGCTTCTATTTTGGTTGCTTCAGAGCTGTGAAGTCAATTAATTGATAATATTAGCCACTGAAAGCAGTCTATACAGAAAGAGAAAATACATTTACCACCCTGTGTATTGAACATGGAGTTCTGCATGAATGGAAAGTGAAATTTCCATTATATTAAATTTCCATTTCATTAAGAACTGACACCTGGATGTGCCTCTACTCATGTTACTGGCGTATTGTGAAGCTCTCCAACATGATGCTCCTGCGAGGCCTCACAAAGACATGGTGGAGACTAAAATAAACAGGCTACAAGTCCATTTAAAGAAGCTCTATAAATGGACACATAAGGAAAGTCCAAATAATAGTATTACATAGACCTTACCTACAGAGAAATCTCTGACTGCCTCAGGAGCAAACAGCAACAGGTTATCTGCCCGTGAAATGAATCGGTTTCAGGGAAGAAGCCCAGGAGCAAGACAGCCCCAAATACTGCCAGGAGTGTTTCTCTGTTCAGATCCAGCCTCCTCAGTCAGGTGGATGTGTGCAGATATTTCACACCTCCTTTTATGTAGTTCTACTCATTGCAATTTGGGCAAAATAAGCCATTGCAGCTCCAGCCTCTTTGTATCTCCTGCTGCTTTCCTGAGGGGCACAACAGGTTCTTAGCTGAGCATCTTCCAAGTCATGTTCTTGATCGTTCAACCAGCTCACCATGGCTACTCATAAGCTACAACAGCTTAACTAATGACTAACAGCAAAATGAGAAATCTGTAATTGATGTTACATCACAACAGAACACAACACAATGACAACTGCCTCACACAGATGAAGTTCTCCCACAAGCCTTCTGTTGTCAGAGGTCTCTCTGATGAAGGCAGCTCCTGTGCTGAAGGAAAAGAGCTTGCTTGGGTCTCCTTCATTAGGCACTTCACAATTAACCTAACTAAGGGCTTTGCAGAGGAAAATTAAAAGGGAGAAATTGGTGGCTGTTATTTGAACAAACATGACAGCAACCGCAGTTACTAGGAAGCATCAGCATTCACAAGAGACATTTAGGGAGAGTTTTGCTCCTAGTCTTTCAAAATGAGAAACTAATGAATCAGGCATGCACAAAATCTGCTCTGACACTTTTGGTATCCTTTTCACCCTATCCAGTACACTTAATCATCCACCAGACAGATCCTAAATGAAGGAGAGTCATCTCAGCAATATACTGCAGTGCTGGATACTCAGAAATGCTGCATTCTGCATTTCTGCAAACTCTTTTCAGAGCTGAAGTTGGCTCATTAATTCATAACCCTCATCCTTCCTGCTCCCCATGCACTCCAAGCTCTATCGGGATGATTTAACAGTGTGCTAAGAAACACAAGTTGGTTTTTCCAGATCCCCTGGACTGACAAATATCTTTCCTAACTATTATTAACAGGATATTTCATCATGATTTACTTCGTTATGCGAATAACGAGGCCCACGCTGATAGCAGCAATGCCTTTGCCTCCATTGTTCCCAGCGAATGCTACAGCTCAACAACAGGTCTCCTAGGAGCACAGGTTTTAATAGGACCTTGCTCAAATGACTTGCAGAATTATACCTAATTAGTTCTGTAGAATGATTTATTGCTGAGGCACCAGAGGACTACTAATGGTCTCCTCCATGTTAGGCATCCAACACTATTAAATTGCTCCAAGTTGTTAGTTAATAAGCTGCTGCATGATTCCTTTTCTGTTCTCCAGTAAACTTTTTTGTCCAACTCCTCAATGTGTCCCTGAGAATTGTGTTCTTCTAGAGTGGTCCCAACCATACACAAGCCAAATTTCCTAAATGAAAGCATTTAAGTCTCACAATTACAAAGTTCCTTGCTCAGTTTGGGCAAATTAAACCTGTGCTTAAGCACCATGTAAACCAGATACTTGAATGTATACACTTCCTACTTGGTTTCCCTGCCTGAAGTCTCAAGAAGGGGAGAGGGCTGAAGTCTGCTGAAAAAAAAGGCCCAGGAAACCACCTTTAGCAGTAACAGAACTAACACAGAACATCAGAGCAGAAGGAATCTCATTTGGAATAATTGCTTTTCTCTGATAAATGAATGCTGCAGAAGATGAGGTTTCGGTGTTGATGAGTTTTCACCTTCTACGTTGGATGATAAAAGCACCCCCAAGCCTTCAAATTTTACCCTGCTGTACAGAGTCTGGGGATTTGACCAATCTGGTTTTCAGAAGAGCCCCTACCTCAGATACTGCTAAAGAGCAAATGCTTAGTACCCAAGCTGCATCTCCCACCTAAAAAAACCCTCTGAATGGCTCAAAGTCATTACATTACATTACATGGGATCCAACGCTTCAGTTGGGGCAGAGAGCCAAGTGCATGTCAGCATCAAGGGACCTGCAGCCTCCCAGAGCTACAGAGACATCTCTCCCCTGTCCACGGACAGTTGGAAGAACTGAGTTTGTCTATTCTGAAGAACCCTAAAAATACTGCCCTCTAATAGCAAGAGAACACTTCCAACAATCAAAGACACTTTAAAACCAGATAACTTTAGAAGTTAAGATGATCGAAAAGCAGCTTTCCATTGAAAATCAATTACAATGAATAATCCAAGCAGAGAACCTAAGGGTAACACACCAAACCAGCCAAAAAACTACTAAAAACAAATGGTTCCAATTCATCACCTCGAGAAGTATAATCCAGATGAAGCCTAGGCAAAACCAACTTCATTTTTTTTCTATAGTTGGGCTTCACTGGAGCACAAAAATCCACAGCAATGAACAGGCATTCCAGCTCTCAGTGATTAAAACAACAGCAAAAAATAACACATACTCCCTAGCTCCTCGTCCACGCTGGCATGCCCACGCACGCACCCTCACAGCACCAGCTGGGGAACACTATCCAGTCTGCAAAGGGATGCAATTCTGCTGCTACAGCCTGTCAGAATAAAAGCTGCAGGCTTCAATCACCTTCTCATTTTTCTAAATAAACCTAAAATTCTTAATCAAAAGATGACTATTTCCCAACATATCTCCTGCTTTTATTAACCTGCCCAGAGCTGAACAGCTGTTGCATCCTGAGGGATGCAAGACCCACACCAGGCTGGTGACAAAACCTCAGAGATACAGAAAGAAAGAGAGAATAATGAAAGGACAGAGCACTGAACTATGAAACCATCCTAACATTATTGTTTAAAACATTTTTAAGGCAAATGGAAAACTGTGTCCCGAATCAGGCACATAAAAGGGGCAGGTAGCCTATGCTCAGGTATACCCTGGGGGAGGTACCAAGAGTGACAGACATTTCCTGCTCCCAAAGAAATGCTCAAATTCACCCGTTTTAATGGAGACTAAAATAAATCTGGAGAACCTGAGATTGACATAAAATGCCATTATCCCTAGGTCAATTCTCTAAGCGCTCTTCACCTCATTTTAACAACAAATAGGGGTGGGGGGGGGAAAGGTTTCCTTGGCATTCCTCTCATCTTCTTGCAGATTTCTGTATTTTCTCCTTCCATTTCAAGGAACTGAATAATAAGAAATGAGTACTCCCTCCAAACAATGCAGCCATTAGCTCTGGGTTTTTTTAAATGTATTTCTGTTGACAGCTGGCACACAGCCAAAGCATTTCAGTCTGCAGACAGGTTGGATGGTAACACCTGTTTCTATTACCACAGCACCCATGGGTAATGCACTTCAATTGTCACCAGCTCCACTGACAACCTTTCATCACAACATCAGTGAGTTTCTCTAATTTTCCCAGAGACATTTGACTCATTTGCATAGTTCCCTTGAGCTTTCTTTTTATTTTTTTAAGTTTAGTTCCTCTCAAAGCTCCCCAGCTCTGAAGTCTTCCCTTTCCAGGGAGCACTGAGGGAAAGCAGAGCTCCAAGGTGAGGTTTGATTTCTGGCTGTATCTTGAAAGTCAAGGTATTTTTCATGTTTTCAAGGCTGTGTATAAAATATGTATCAGTGAGGTTGACAGTCATGGATGCTGTAGCACACTCACAGCTGGGGACTGAACACTGCTGGGCTCCTGGTAAGGTATTGCTTACGCATTAAAAGTTCAGTTAGTATTTTTATTTTTGAACCCCTTTTGTAAACCAGAAGAACCTGGAAAAAAAATACTCTCCCCAAGATCCAGCAGCACTCCTCCTGCTTTATCACAACTCTGCTGTGCATCCATGGATTCCTATTCTAGAACATTTTCAACATATTTATTCCCAACCTGCTTGAGTCTTGGAACAAACCACTGCTCTGTACAAACCCAGAAGAGTACAAAGGTGAGCAGGGTCATAGCTTGAGAAAGGATCATAGAATCACCATCAGCTTCTTCCCACATTGCTGCTTTAACAGATTCAAATCATTCTTACTCCTCTGGATGACACGGAAAATATACTCATTCAATCAGGATGCAGGAAACTACTTTCCAATGTGCATTTCTTCAAAGAGACCAGCACTCATTTGAGGTTTCCCCCTGGTCAGTAGCTTTGGCAAAGCTTCCCGAGACTTACTCCAAAGAAGATGTCAAACATGTAAAACTAGAGAAAGGGCTACAAGTCCTCAAAGTCACTCTGGAGATGCATTAAACACAGTATGAACTGCCTTCATTACGAGGCTTACAATTAATTGACATGAAATGTGACACTGTGCAAACATATCACTTTGCACAGCCAGAGAGATGTCTTGGCTCAACAGCAAAATGTAGTCGATTTTTCAGCATGTTGATATATTTCCTCTCAAGAGTTCAAAAGCTCTTTGCCCAGCCCAAAACCAGTCATTTTCAGCTGATACTTACAATTAGCCATCTCAACTAATTATTTTATTTGCTACTGCTTCTTTCCCCAGGATGCATGGACAGACCAAAAGAGAAGAGATGATTATGAATTTATCTCTGCAGAGATGCTGCTGCTGGGGACCTCCAGCTTCTCTGCAAGAGAGTTCAAAGCACCAAGACATCTATCTCTGCATTAAGCTGGACAATGTGGTCCTGCTCAAGCCAGCCTCACTGTCCTCCCGCCGTGGAGCCCAGGTTCATATTCTCCGTACCGCAAAACCAGATGTCTGGCAGGATGCTGAACACACACTGACTTCCTTAAAAAGAGCTAATATAGTTTTTTCCCTAATAAAACTAACCATTTTCCACTTTCCATCACTAGTTTACACCACTAAAGTTTCATATTGTGTGCAAGTTCTCTGATACTGAAATAACTTACAGGAAAGGAATCCAAGTTATTTCTGGCAGTCGCCATCCTACTTTTTAATAACCTATTCAAAGCAGAAAAGCTTTTCTCTGCTACGTGCAATAGTAACTCTGTAACTGTAGCCCTTAAAAGCATAAGCAGCTTAACGTCAAAAGGTAAAGCACTCCTTGTGTGGCACACAGAAAGCCAAGTGCATTAAACAGTTGGGCCTGAAGGCCAACAGCTGTAGTTTTTCACTTTCTCAACAAACTCAAAGTCATTATTTACACAGTTTGGTATAAGAAAAACATCCCCCACAACAACCCAGTGGCCTGCCAGGAATACAAAAAAATAAAAATCCCAGCTGTCATAAAACTGTAATTAATTGCCTTTGGCTATCAGTTGCTGAGAAAATGTTAATGAATGACAAGACCAGGAATGAGCGACAGGGGATTTAATTTGCTTACATTTGGTTGCATTTGCTCAAGACAAGCCTGTTCGATGCACTACTCTTACTCCTAACACTCTGCTTATATTGCTTGTGATTCATTAGGGCTAAAAGACCTGGTTATTAATGAAACAGAAGTGCTCAATTATTCTCCTATCCACTTCACTGCTGAGCTTTTAACCACAGCAATTATGCTTCACCGGGGCCTCATTTTTCTTCTCCGACAGTCCCAAATTCATCACACTACCTACAGTGTTTGGACAGTTATTTTTATCTACTTAGGGAGAATATGTACATCTGTGGCTGGGAAACAAGCAGAGTCTTTTCCTAAATGGAGAATCGATAGTCAAGACTTCAAAGAAGTTTTAATCCAGCTTCTTGGTTTCCAAAAAAAACTTCGGGCTTTGAAAAGCCATCTGATATGTATAATCTAGCCCACATGGCCCTTCTGCAGCATGCAGACCACCCAGAGACACTCCAGAACAACACTGCCCTGGTGTGACATCACAGCCAGAGAACCCTTCTTGTAAGGTGTCAGGATGGTTTCAGACTGAAACTTTTAAACGGGGGTGACAACTGGCCTTTCGTGGTCCCTTTGCAGACAAGCCCCTACCTGTGCCTGCTCAGAGAGCAGCCAAAGGCTCCCAAGGGAGGATGGTGGGCTCCAAGCATCATACCAAGAAGGGAGCCTATCTCCTGTCCACAAGGCTGAGCCACCACCATTTGTGCACATCCAACCTTGGGCACAACAGAAACCAACCACCTTTCATCATCAACTGCACAATGTCTTTCCAAGCAGCAAATTGCTTCAATGGCACAGTAGTTTGAGCATTCCATTTCTTATTTCTTTTTTCATTTACAATAATTCACTGATATATCATCAACAACAAAGTATGTCCAAATTAGTCACACTAGTGGACACAATAAGTCCAGATAAATTGTAACTTTTGAGCTGCCTCTGAACATTGCCAATGGACAGGAGGAGGTGGGAAGGGGCTTTTGGACTCACCTGTTGAACTTCACTTTCTCCATTTGAGATTTTCTCTGTGTACACAAAGGAGTTGAATATCCTCTGCAAGACAAATCAGAAAGGATGTGTAAGAGACCTTTTGTTATAAATATCACACTAAGCAGCTCTAAAAGGTGCACAGATTAGAAAATGTCTGCCAGAAAAACCATTTCACCTGGTAAGTCTATTGCCAGGCTTATCCAAGGGCAATCCATCTCCATATCCCTGTTTCTGGATCTGGCTTTGTTTTTTTTCCAAAACATCTGTTAATTTAACAAACTGACACAGGGTGCTAAATAAAATATTTATCATATGAAAGCTACTACCCACACAAACTATGGCTGTTCTCTAGTGCTAAACATTTAACTCAATATAACTATTTTTAAAAGTACTTGTTGCTTCCAACTAACAGGTAAGAGGCTGTGTGTTGAACTTAAAACCTATTTGGTATTTGGAAAAGAGAGACCCACTTTTGAACCAGACTGAGCTCACTAATGGCAAAAAAATGACATAGCAGAGGATAGAAGTGAGAGAGCTGTGTCCTCCCCTGGGAAAGCTTCCCATCTGCTCCCAGAAAGACACCAGTGCCTCCATCCACTATGCCTCCACAGGTGAGAGCTGCACTGCCATCACCAGCTACTTACAGTAGTTACATGGAGGGAAGAACACTCAACACCTTGTTAATAGTCTGCTTCCAGACTGGAAAATAGGGTTGGAAGGGTTTGGGGTTACACTGACAGCATTCCTAAAAAGTTTGCCTGATACACCTAAGTTTCTCTTTCACGACTTCTCATTCCCAAGGGCAGCTTTCCCCTTAGGGACAGTGGAGCCATCCCCACTGGAAAACCTACATATGTTCCATTCCTTTATGCAGAATCTTCCAGCTTTCTCCTCTGCTCCTGCTCAAGTCCATGCCAACCCCTGCAAGCACCAAAGGGTAGGAAGGGTTCACAGGTTTCATTAGAAAACAAGTGGCCAGCTCCTCACTGTGTACCAAACATCCTCTACCAAAGCAAGATACCCAATATAGAAGCTGAAAAAAATTTCCAAGCAGATCCTTAATAATATGGTGACAGTTCCTTGCAAACATGAGTGTTTGCAACACTGCATTTTTTATGAGAAGGCAAAAACATTTTTAAAAACTAAGTCCATAGGATTTTTCTCTCCCAGCCTCAAGGGGAGCTGGGATTTCACTGTCAGAGTAAATTCCACGTCTATTGGTGTTAAAAGTCAAACATGTGACAATACATCAGCAAGAACATCTGTAAGCACGGCCACATCTGGCAAAGGACAGTGATTCATCAAGACCCCACTGAGTCCCTCCCTTGACATGGCAGTTGCAATGTTTACAGCAACATAAGCCAGTCAGCTCTCCAAGTTATTAGCAATAATAACTGCAATTACCAAATAGGTCTAAATTTCACCCCAATCCACTGTATTCACTGGCACAAGTCTCCAAGAGTTTTCTTGATGCATGTTTACCTCATTTTCTCATTGTAAGGCCATACACAGCTACAGCTGGCAAAACCAGCCTGGAAAACCCTTTGGTGTTCTTTGCTCCACTTATGATCATCACTTCCCCTTATCCCTCTCCCTCCTGAGGACTTCAGGAATCTCAGAAATTTGAACTCTTCATTTGAAAGAACCATTTGGAAGGGCAGCAATAAATCTCCTCAGTTTAAAAGTCTCAGAGAGCCAAAAAGGGGGGG